CACCACCGTCGGCGTACGTCCATCTGCTCGCGAACCCGCCGAGCCCTGCAGAACCACTGACGCCTGTCACTTTAGGTCCAAAATCCCATAGACTTGCCCCAAATCGCCGTCGTCGGCTCACAGTCGAGTGGAAAGAGTTCGGTGCTGGAAAACATCGTGGGACGCGACTTGTAAGTTCTCCCCAGAAAGTCTGCTAGGGCCATGTGCGCAGGCAACTAGCTGACCTCCCATGCCTGCAGCTTGCCTCGTGGTACTGGCATTGTTACCCGACGCCCTCTCATCTTGCAACTCATCAACCGCCCCGCGAGCGCAAAGACACAGGCCAACGGCGTTTCCGAAAGCGTCGAGACCACCGATAACCAGTCCAACGTCGACGAGTGGGGTGAATTCCTGCATATCCCGGGCCAGAAGTTTTACGATTTCAACAAGATCCGCGAAGAGATTGTGCGCGAGACGGAATCCAAGACGGGTCGCAATGCAGGCATCTCGCCGGCCCCAATCAACTTGCGCATTTACTCTCCAAACGTCCTTACCTTGACCCTGGTCGACTTGCCCGGTCTCACAAAGGTTCCGGTCGGCGACCAGCCTAGGGACATTGAGAGACAGATCAGGGAGATGGTGCTGAAGCAGATTAGCAAACCTAATGCTATAATATTGGCCGTCACCGCCGCCAACACGGACTTGGCCAACTCGGACGGCTTGAAGTTGGCGAGAGAAGTTGATCCGGAAGGTCAAAGGACGATTGGTGTGTTGACCAAGGTCGATCTCATGGATGAGGGAACCGACGTCGTGGATATCCTGGCGGGCCGCATCATCCCTCTGAGATTGGGATACGTCCCGGTCGTCAACCGTGGTCAGAGGGATATTGAGAACAAGAAGGCCATTTCCTACGCGCTGGAACACGAGAAGAGCTTCTTCGAGAACCACAGAGCGTACAAGAACAAGGCCTCGTACTGCGGAACGCCGTATCTGGCCCGCAAGCTCAACTTGGTGGGTTGATACTTGGATTTATTGGTAAGACCAAGCTAACGCTCAATCAGATCTTGATGATGCACATCAAGCAAACCCTTCCAGACATCAAGGCTCGTATCGCTTCCTCTCTCCAAAAGTATGCCGCCGAATTGGGACAGCTAGGAGATTCCATGCTCGGCAACTCGTCCAACATCGTCCTCAACATGATTACTGAATTTTCCAACGAGTACCGCTCGGTACTGGAGGGCAACAACCAGGAGTTGTCGAGCATTGAACTTTCCGGTGGTGCTCGTATCAGCTTCGTCTACCACGAGCTCTACGCCAACGGTGTCAAGGCCGTGGATCCGTTTGACCAGATCAAGGATGTCGACATCCGCACAGTCTTGTACAACTCTTCCGGCTCTTCCCCTGCGCTGTTTGTTGGAACCACAGCTTTTGAGTTGATTGCGAAGCAACAAATCAAGAGGCTGGAGGATCCCAGCTTGAAGTGTGTTTCGCTTGTTTACGACGAATTGATTCGCATCTTGACTCAACTCCTGACCAAGCCCATGTTCCGAAGATACCCGGCTTTGAAGGAAAAGTTTCAAGCCGTCGTTGTGCAGTTCTTCAAGAAAGCCATGGATCCTACCAACAAGTTGGTCAAGGATCTCGTGGCCATGGAGTCTTGCTACATCAACACAGGACACCCGGATTTCATCAACGGCTCCAGGGTCAGTCAATGTTTCCCGCAATTTTCTTCAGCTTCCCAATTACCCCAAAGAAACTCCATCCCCACGGCCATCGACGCCAATACTAACAGACGCGTAAAGGCTATGGCGATTGTCCACGAGCGCCACAACGCGGCCAAACCCGTCCAAGTCGATCCGAAGACGGGCAAGCCTCTGCCTCAGAGCGCCGTCCCTCCCCGTTCAGCCAGTCCCTCGCTCGACCCCAATGTTGGCGATGGCAACAGCGGCTTCTTCGGTAGCTTCTTCGCCAGCAAAAACAAGAAGAAGATGGCGGCCATGGAAGCACCGCCGCCGCAGCTCAAGGCCAGCGGCACCCTGTCCGAAAAGGAAGCCCAGGAGGTCGAAGTCATCAAGCTGCTCATCAGCTCCTACTTTGGCATTGTCAGGAGGACCATGATTGACATGGTCCCCAAGGCCATCATGTTGAACCTTGTCTCGTAAGTCTCCGCCGCTGAACGGCGGCTGTTTAGCACACTTTGACTGACTGGCCATGATGCAGGTACACCAAGGAAGAAATGCAACGCGAGCTTCTCGAAAACATGTACCGCATCGAGCAGCTCGACGACCTTCTCAAGGAGAGCGAGTACACGGTCCGCCGCCGGAAGGAATGCCAGCAGATGGTCGAGTCCCTGTCGCGCGCTCAAGAAATTGTCAATCAGGTGCAGTGAAGAAAAGAGAACGCCACTTTGCTGGGGAGCATGGGTTGACCAGTTTTTTTCTCACCATTCAGGCGATAAGCGAGCGTCCGTAAGGGCGAGGCGTGTTTTGCGTGTTTTGCGTGCTTCTGCTGTTCTTGCGATTCGATTTCTCTTCCGGGCGATGCTTTCCTCCACCTCCTGCAGTAGCAACGAAACAGAACGACGACGAGATGTGTAAGTTGGGGAAAACTGGGTCTTCTTGAGTTCTTTATTGGGTGCGCCAACGTAAGAATAGACATGCAGCGGGCGAAGGAGGCGGAGTTGCACTTGTCCTGGGTCGGACGCTCCTGGGGGGCTTCTGGGATATTGGGGCGGGACGAAGCTGTAATATGACGACTGTTTATGCAGTAAAGATTGAAGATATCCACACTCTGCAGTACCATGGTACCTATAGGCTACCGTACTGGCACAGGGCGCTGTCCGCTCCGAAATCCGACGGGAAGACCCTGCACCCGCACGCGCCAATGGCGTCAGCCCCAGCCCCGCGGGCGAGCTCTGACATGTTCCTGTCACCTTATGTTCCGTTAGCTTAGCACCACACAGCCTCGTTGCCGTCTCCATTCCAACACCTTGACAACCCATTGTTCCCTCCTCTCCATACCCTCGGAATCGACCCATGATCCCGCAACAAGCTCGTCCACCATGCCTTCGATTGTAGAATCTCTCGATGCTCTGCTCGTCGACCTGTTTGCAGGCTGGAACACCACCACCACGGCCCTGGTCCTCGGCATCGCAGCTTTCCTCGCCTACAACATTTACCTCGGTCTCGAAGATCCAGACATACATCCAATGCTCCTACTGCGCTCCTCCACAGCAGCCGGTATCCGTCACCCTGGAGAGAGCGCCGTCTACCGATCGCCACACGTGCCCCACGGCTACCCGCTACAATCCTCCATCAGTGTCCCCGGCGAGCACCGCTACCAGCGACGACACGGAGACTTGCGCGACGTCTGGAGAAGAGTCGTCGGTCAGCTGGCAGACGAGGATGGCGAGAAAAGACGCAGTCCCAGCGCCCTCTTGACCGTGCTGGGCAGGGAGGAGGTGGTGGAACACGCATGGGACGACGTCACCAAGGAGATCAACGTGATTGGCAAATACCTGCAAGAGCACGGAGCAAAGAAGGTCGCCATCTACCTACCAAACAGCGTCGAGTTCATCATCGCAGTCTTCGGTGAGTATTGCGCCTTGGGTCAAAAGATTTGGGGCCACGTTTGGCTTGGGCTGACACGCTATTAATAGCCGCCGCGTTCTACGGTTTCTCCCCGGTCCTGATTCCGTACAACCAGTCCCCTGACGTTGTGAACTCGCTTCTCCGTAAGAGCGGTGCAGATGTGCTCGTTGCGGCTGCTGGGTCAATCCCTCTGGCCGATGTCGCAAAGGGTGTACCTAGTCTGAAGCAGGCCATTTGGGTTGTGGAGAAGACTAGCCGCCATGTGGACTGGAATGAAGTTCCAGAGGGCACTGGCGGCAAAGTCGAAGTGTCTACTTGGCATGAGCTTGTGCAAGATAACATTGGAAATGCTAGCACTGAAGTGCCTAGTCATGTCGATCAGGGTCCGGCCGCAGACTTGTTCTTTGTCTGGCAGGCTGGTGTCGGCGCGGATGGCGAAGTCATCCAGTTTACTCAACAGGTAAGTCGTATCGCAAACATTATAAGTCTACCGTTGACCGGTTATAGAACGTCTCTGCTGCGACTGCGGCTCTCATGTCTGCTCTTCCCGCTGGTCAGCGCTTCAGCCCATCGGATCTCTTCCTTCCGGCCGACTCCCTTTCCAGCTCCTACACGCTTTGCTTGACTTTGGCCGCTCTCTTCTCTCATGCCTCTGTTGCGATCAATTCAGTGGCTGGTCCTGGCGTCGAAATGGCTCTCTCCCTCCGCGGTGTTGCTCCAACCGTTGTCAGCATATCTTCCGAGACTGCCGCAAAGCTCCACCACAACACCACCAGTACGATCACCAACAACGTGCAGAAGTTCGCCCACTACGCTGAAACTCGCGCCATGACGTCGTCCGGCAAGTTTCCTGTCAACACCTTCCTAACCAAGTTCAATGCTCCTACGCGCTCCTCGGTGGCCGCTACTCCCGGCAAGCTGCGCCTTGTGCTCATCGCCGAGAAGTCGTCGACGGACAACCCACCTCTGACCTCGACTGACCTGTCTGACCTCCGCATTTACCTCAACGCCCGCGTTGTCTACGCCCTGACAGCGCCGAGGGTCGCAGGCGCGGTGGCGCAGACAAACATGTACGACTACCGGCGCGAAGAGATTGAGGGCCGTTCAAACAAGCATGCGCACTTTGGCGCGCCGCTCAACAGCGTCGAGATCAAGTTGGTTGACAAGGACCGGTGGCGGACGACGGACGAAAAAGTCGAGGGAGAAGTTGTCGTCATGGGCCCAGCTGTCAGCGGGATGAAGACGACGCTGGAACCTGTGGCCAGGATCCGCGAGGACGGGTGCCTGGAGTACGTGTAAATGTGGCAGCCCCTTGTCACGTCCCTTCCCCTCGCCGCAACAGCAACCACGGAACAGCGCTACAACACGGGTCGCCCGCTACCGCTCAATAGGACCAGCGGGCAAAAGGAAAAGAACAAAGCAGCGGCAGAGAAGATTGGCCAGGACTTGAACCTGGGACTTGCCGTGGATGCGACTGTTGCCACGGCATGCGTTACCACTGCACCACCAATCCATAAACGTTTAGAGGTGCTGCTGTATAGTTGGGTAGAGGTTGCATAATTTCATATACTGATATTTTGCGCAACCTCCATCTTTGAGCGGCAACGGTCTGGAGAGCTTTGACATTGTGGATAGCTCGTTGTAGCATGGTGTCTGTGAATGGAAACGAATTTTAGAACCAGACAGGTGCGACTTTCGCTTTTGCACGTGTCGCCTTCCATTGAAAGCTTCGGTGGACAAGCAGAATTCATGCGCTTTGGAAAGGAGTGGATGAGGTATTCCCCGGCTCTTGGGACACGAGAAGCCTTCAGATCATGGCTTTAATTCTGACTGTGAAAAGCATGAAGCCTTTCTCCAGTGCATACTTCGAGGATCCACGCTCGCTGGAGTGCCAGTGGCTGGGAGCATTCGAGCCGTCCCACGACCGATTTTGCCAATTCTCGGAGATATTTACCCCCAGAGATCTACGGTGGTGCGCTGTAGCCAACGAGACGGCGCAGTCACAAGGTGAAGAGGACGCGATTTTGGGATCAAGTATGGAGATAGGAGGACATGGAGACTGGATTCCATCGTAAGATTGAGGACACCTGCTTGCCTTCCTCGAGCAGCCATGCGTCGGGTGCTTCATTGATGAGGTATATATTTGACATTCTTCGATGCAAAACTCTCCATCCTTCTTCAACCTCTACCCTCCTCCCCCAACTTCAGTCTTCCACCCCCTTTAGCTAGCATCCGCATCACTTCAGCGCAATAATGGCTCCGAAGGAACGCAACGTCTCCAAGGCTGCCAACCCAAGTGAGAAGGACGAGCTAGTCTCGGAGACTTCAGTGAGCAGTGCGAAGGAGCCCTTTACTCTGAAGACGGGCAAGACGAGCAAGAGGCGCAGGATCAGAGTGAGTCACGACGTAGATCGTTGGTGAAACCAATCACTGACCAGCCTCAGATCGTCGGCGTCTCCGGAGAGGACTTGATCAAGAAGGTCCTCAAGGCTTACTACCGTGAGCTTCGCCTGAAGGCCATTGTGTCGCGACACGGCCACCTCACTACTACCAATACCGTTCGTGAGCCCCGCTTCCAGCTTCCGGCGCAATTGCCTTCTTTTCCGCTGCTGACGATGGCACCGCAGGCTGAATCCACGGAAAAGGAGCCGAAGAAATGGCCGCACGTTTTCGAGCGCTCCTTGTACGGCGACTGGCTCTGTGGCGACGGACACCGCTACAGCCGCATGACGGTGGAGGCGCGCGCAGACCTCGACCAGTTCGAACTCAACTCTCACAGGGAGCGGAAGCAGAGGCAGTTTGAGGCCAGGTACGGCCCTGGCCACCGTCTGTGAGAGGAGAGAGCTTCACCTATGACTTGCGGCGGTCGAAGTGACCTTTTCACTCTCATTTTCTCTTTTTAAATATATTGGGTCCGCTCGAGGAGCATTCATCTCGGCGGGGCACAATTGCTACGGACGAAAAAGATTGACGGCCCACAGTTGGAGGAAGTTGGAAAGGGCAAAAAAACGGCGATGAAATACTCAGCGAGCGGCCACATCGAGAACGTGGCAGGCAAAAAATACCGCACCTGCTTCTTACCCCATCTCTTTTCCTATTTACATCAATCCCAGTCGATTCACCATTCCAATCCTTATTTTGCAAATTGCCATTCAAACAAGCAGAAGAGAAAAAGAAATACAAACCAGCCCTTGTAATACAGCCGCTTGCCAGCATAGACAGGAGAAAGACGCCTGTTGTCTCACACAAGCGGCGAGCGCCTCGAAACAAAAACCACCGACGAAATGGCGGACCATACGACGAGGTCGGTTTGAACTGACAATCATGAGCAAAAATGGTAGGATCCGTGACGAGCCCCCAACCATGCAGGAATGGCGTGGAACCGATGTATCGCAGATGCGGGTACCGACGCGGATCGTGGCACAACTCTATCTTCGGCCGGCCATTTGGCGCATCCGCGTAGCTTGTTTCTATTCCTACCTTGACTCTTGCTCTTGGAAGGATGGTCGAGGGAGCTGATCATAGATGGGGAGGGGAATGAGACAAGTGGGTAGGTAGTATGTGATCGTTGAGATGGAGAGAGGCCGTGGCTTGACGGTAAGTGAGCCATCATGCCAACTTTCTGACCACTTGTGCTGGAAACATTATAGACGACTGCCTTGCCCAAGGGAGGAGAAGAAGAGGCGCAGGGGTGTCGAAAGAAATGAGACCTCCTGGCAACGTGGGTGCATCTAGGCAGCATTCACTCGCTGCTACAGCTGCGCTTGAGGAGCATTCATGTACCGTCATAGTTGCGCTTAGGAAGAAGGTACTGTAGTCGTTCATTACCGCAGCCAGACCCGGGCAATCGCATTTCTTTCGACACCTATTTCGGAGGCATCGAGACTGTCCGTGAAAGCTCTAACATTTTGCTCGGAGGATCACGTCGCGGCTTGTCAATGCTGTGAGCATCAATCAGCAGCAATCGACTAGGTCGATTTGAACACTTGAGTTCAGACTTTGACTCAACGCTGCGACCTCGACGCGGCTAGTCCTGGATGCATGTGGACTGGAAGGAGACTCGGTTGGCAAAGACTAGAAATGTCGGTGAGCCAGAAGCAAGCGGACGACAGGGCAGAATTGTTGGAGTGGCCGGAGCGAGGTACTCGTATGCTTTTCGTGTCCTCGAAGTATCGACGCGCTGGGAGTTGAATGCTTCGCAAATGGGTTGCTGAAGGGGGCTCGAATACGGACGCTCCCTGTCCATCTTTCCACTTCGCTACTGTTCACATTGCACCAGGCGGGTCACCGGAGGAGAGGCAGGTCAAGACCAAGTCGGGTAGCCAGGTGAGACTCGGCAGACCTGCACGCATGATGCTGATCACCTCATGCAAGATGTAACCAGCCAGCCGGCGCGAGAAGCTCGCAGCAAGCGGTGAGCTTGTTCTGCTTCTGCCTCTGCCATGCCACCCACCACTCTGCGCTCGTCAGCCCAACACGCAATCAGCCTACCATTTCATTGCACAGGTGGCTGCCATGCGCGAGCACACAGCATGAACCGCCCGACTGCCGCCATGACAAAGCTGCGCTCGCCATTGGCGGCTTTGTCTGTGTGTCTCCCCCGCGGTCCGTCCATCCTGCACAAATATCCATGCGCGCATCAATCAGCCAGCTCGCCTATTAAGTTTACCATGACCGCAAACCATCGGCGTCGCTGTTCCATCAATCCATCGACAATCCAATCAGATTCGCTCCAATTGCACTCCGACCACGCCCTGCGACCCGCCAACCCGGTAGCGACCGTTCGGCTCGACCGAACCGCCCACCGTGCAGCCAGCAACCATCAATCAAAGACAAACAAACGTCGACGAGGTCCGCGTGGTTCTGCGAGCCTTGTCGTTTCTTTTGTGGGTCCAGCCTCAAGGCGGCGCGAGAGCAGGATACCATCAATCTGACACAGAGGGGCCCAGAGGCCTCGCCTCCAGCGTGGGCCTTGCCAAGAGGGGCCTCGTCTGCGTTGAGAGGTGGAAACACAGGGACAGAACGGAGCATCCACTGCCCTATACAGCCTGCTGTGGCACCACCGGCCGCGTGTGGTTGTAATCAGGAGGTCCTGATTGGAATTGGGTCAAATTTAAGCTTGTTTATTAGATGACGTGCTGACCCACAGGGCGCGGCCCACGGTCCAGTGCTTCGCGGGGCTGACTGCCTACTACAGTGCGTGCTGCTGAGGCGCCTAGGCTTTGCTGCTGCGAGCGCATAGTTTTGGCGGTGGAGCGTCGTGTATCTGGGCAGCGTGGCAGTGGTGGTTGTAAGCGACGACGACGGCCGGACCAGACGAGACGAGACAAGGCCAGGACAAGGCCTGAGTAGGAGGGCGGCGAGACCACAAAAGCAGTGTTTGTATCCCTCTTTTCAACTTCTGTTCTTTCTTTCATCGCCTACATTTCTGCGGCGCTTACCTTCGTTCTTGCTTCGCTGCTGTTGTCGTTGTGCGTTTGCAGCAGCTCTTCATTCAGTCCTTCTCTTCTCAATCCCAACTATTCACCTTCATTCAAGTCGCTGCTCCTTTTTCGCAGCAGAAAGCAACTTCAGGCGCCGGGTCGCCTCCATCCCACCTACGTTTCCTCTCATCTCAACCACATTCTGTCTACCAATTAGCAATCATGAAGTTCACCACAGCGCTCGTATCTTCCCTCTCTCTGGCCGCAGCGCCGCTCGTCTCTGCCGCAACAGAGGGCTACGCCTACACCGATGAGACGACCGGCATCAAGTTTTGGCAAATGAGCGTGGCAACGACCAACACGGCCGGCGGGTTCGAGTTTGGATTCGCGCTGCCGGACGAGGCCAACGCGGGTAGCAACGACGAGTACATCGGGCGACTGGTGGGCTCGCGGATCAAGGGGGCGGGATGGAGCGGATTGAGCCACGCCGGAGGCATGACCTCGTCGTTGCTGCTGATTGCGTGGGCTGACGGCGACGACACCGTTCGAACGTCGTTTCGATACGCAACGGGGTATACCGAGCCCAAGGCGTACACGGGAAATGCCACGCTCAGCCCCATCTCACACAAGATCAACGACACCAACTTTGAGCTGATCTACCGCTGCCAGTGGTGTTGGTTCTGGGACCAGGATGGCAGCGCCGGTTCGCAGCCGCCGACGGGCGAGAGCGAGGTCATTGGTTGGGCGCAGGCCGTCGACGATCCGTCGCCCGTCTCAGATGACAGCGGTACCATTCAGCAGCACAACAACGGCATGGGCCAGTTCGGCCTCCCCGTCGCCAGTGCCAGGAATGCTGATTATACCGCGTGGGCATCCAAGGCGACTCCCGCGCCTACCGCGACCCAAACTCAGGCGGCCTCGTCGACCGCGACGGCGGCATGTACGGCGACGAATGCTCCCAATGCCACCTACGATTACATTGTCGTTGGTGGGGGTGCCGCAGGCATTCCGCTCGCCGACAAGCTGTCCGAGTCTGGCAAGAGCGTGCTCCTGATTGAGCGAGGCCCGCCATCTTCTGGCCGCTGGGTGA